TTCGAAATGAATTAAAAGCAACAAACAAGCAAATCGAAACTTTGGCAGAAAAGTGAAAAGGAGCAGAAAGTTCTTTTTTTTCGACTCGCAAAATTTCAATTACTCAGTAAAATGAACCTTTGACAAATCAAATAACATTTTTTTTTTTAAATTTGCAAGTAAATGCAAGCTAGTATGAGCCATGCAGAAAAAGGAGAAACGGACGCCAGGATCATCAAAAGAATGACTATTCAGCACTGGTCAAAGTGACTAGAAAAGTTGACAGCTGTGAAATTTGCAGAAACAGACTGTCAATCACAGTTGGTCCAAGCATTCCAAATAAGAAAAATAAAAGCTAAGCAACCACACTTCGATACGTTGTAATCATGGTGGCGCGATATGGTCGAGCGGGCAGGCATCCTCAACATGACCTGTTTATACACGGCGAAATTGACCAGTGGGACAGCAGTATTGCGTCGGTTTCGTCAGTGGCGTACCAAAAAAAAAAAATGCCGCACCGGGTCGTCAGGAAAAAACGCCACAGTAGCCGCGGTGCAGCCGACAGTATCCATGTTTTGTATTTTGGTTTGCAGGGGAGTGCTGAGAACTGCGGGGAGTCGTATGTTGGGCTGAGTGTTTTTTTTTTCCTGATTTTTGGTTGAATAAAGATTTGCTGGTCTGTCAAGCTCAACACATATGGAAAAAAAAAATCACTCGAATGGAAAAAGATGAAAATGAGAGAAACCTTGATCGAGTTGTGCAGCATCGCATCGTATACCGGTGCGTCGAACAGACAGTTATCCAGCGAGCGTGACGCAAAATGGCTTGTGTCAACCGCGGCGTGCTTCGGGATCGACCGCGCCACTCGAGGCTGTGCATCGGCCAGTGTCTCGAGCGCTTCCATGAGATAAGCTGCATCCGCCTGACTATTCACCGCATCCACCGAGAACGCCTTCTTCGGCGCCACTAGCACCGGACTTCTCCCGAAGATTGTGCGCGTCTCACTGCGTGACCGTGCATTTGGTAATGCGCCGAATAAGAGATCCTCGTTGCTATCCGATGTCCCCGTGCGCTTGTGTTTGCGGGAGCTCTTATGGTGCCGTATACGGTCCGAGAAGGTGAAGTTGGAGTTCGTGGTTTGCTGAAGTTGC